GGCCTTGGTATGATAGTAAACTACAGAATGTATATAGTCTTCCTCTAAAATCTCCAAATACAGGTAAATAGAAATAAGGCAATTTTCTAAAATTAGAAGCAAGACTTAGAATAGACTGATATCGGTAATGGATAGCATTATGTTTAATAGGATCATTGCCATTATCACTTACCATTGGTTTAATATATTCTTTAAATAACGTATCACTTCTACCACTTTCTCACTCAGAAATTAAGAAATCTAAGACCTCTTCATGAATCACAAGTTTTTGTCTATTTAAATAATTTACACAATCTGAAAGTTTTTCTTGACCTTCAGGCATCTTCATTAGATCATGTTTTGATCTTAAAATACTATGGAATGGATCACAGTATTGATTTGCGTCATCAGTCACATATGGTCCATAAATAAATTTATTATGTTCAAAACCAGGAGATCTAGGTTCACATACCATTGGTAAATCAAGAGGAGTAGAACTGGTTAAAGCTAAATTATGCATGGCCTTATCATCTAAATAAAGATTTTTAATAGATTGTCCATCTTTTTTAATTAAACGCGTATTAAATACTTTTTTGCTGTTATTAGCTAATGTAAATACTAATGTAGATGAAACCCCTATAAATTCGGTGTCATCCATCAGGCTAAGCTGATGTAATCCATCATACATAGTAAAATCATTATACAATTTACCATCTCTAAATAATTTAGGAGGCACAAAATTATCGGTACCATACTTATTATTTAACATTTTAATACGTCGAATAAATCGCTCTTTAATATTCCCTGCGTACTTACTTCACCTTCCTGAGATTTGTTAATAGCTGAGATACATTCCATGATAACAATTGAGGATACTCATTCAATATTTAGCATCATTACTAACAATCCAGATCGAGCTAATCTATTTTCCCTTATACTTTTTGAATGTAATTGTTCAACCATACGTCGATAATTATCATGTTCGTAAACCTTCTCAGTATCCAAGCTAATACTTCTAACCAACCTTTGGTACTCTTTAGCTAAAATAGAAACTTTCTGTGCGCTATTCTTATCTTGTTCTAATAACATTTTAAAAAAATTTTCATTATACTTAACTAATTCACTTTCCAATTTACTTTGGGCCAGTTCTCTATCCTCATAAACATTTAACACTCTTTCAATTAATTCAGTCAATGGACTAGTAAAAGATAGTTGGGCTTGACTTTTAATACTAGGATCAAACTTACATGTAATATTATATAGTTTATCTAAAATATCATATCTACTTTGAATAATATCTTTATCAGTTACACATAAGACCCTATCACTAATCTCACTAACATCTCTCTTAATCATACTTGGTCTCTTTCTAAGTAAATATTTACTTTTTTTACCACTACTAACTAATTCATTAGCCAGATATTCGTAGTCTTCTCTATATCAATTTAACTTTTGAACAATTTATTCAGACAACTTATCCATTCTAAAACCTTCAGCTTTACTCATTTCATCTAACTTATCTAAATATTTAACAGACATTTCCTCTTTTCCCGTCTTAAATAAGTTGTAATTTCAATTGCCTTCTGGTCACTATTAAATCGAGCTTCTAATCCTTTTCACATTTTCATTCATTCATCATCCATTTTAGCACCAGTAATAATACTATACTCTACATAATAATCAAACATAGCTTTCAAGAATCTATTATATGTCACCTTTTCAGGTCAATCCTTAGCAAGTACTAAAATCTTCAAGTTAGAATATCAGTCGCTTGATTAATCAAGCGCTTCATATTCATGTCCACAAATTAAAGCTACATTATTGTTACAGTAGTTAAGTTCCATAACTTCTTTAACATCTTTTCAAATAAACCCATGAGGTTTCAGTAATTGGAATAATTTATCATGGTAATATCTTACCGCTCTACTATCACGAATATTAAGACTAAGAATTTGAACTCTTTTAATTACATGTTGCAATCCAGTAGTTATAATTTTACTATACATTTCCTTAGGTACTGTAAGGCCGGTTAGAATATCTTGGTGAATGTCAACACTACCCTTACTAGGTAAATCAATAACGTTACCAGTAGGAATTAGTGCTAATGACTCATTTTCATTTTCATTTTCATTTTCATTTACTGTACTTTCATTTTCATTTTTAGTATTACGAGCTTTAACAGAAATTTGTCTAGAGAAGTTAGGTTTAAGAATAAGCAATCCGCTCATCTCGAGATTAATACAATCGGAATTAATAAAATCACCAAGTCAAATTGAAACCAACACAAGTAAAATAAACTTTAAAACATAAAACCGAAGGTGCATCTTAGGTAAGCCATTTAAAGTGTATAAAGCGTTGATCTGCGCAGAGTATGACTGGACACTATTAAAAATTGTTTTCATCTCTATAAGTGAAGTAAATAATGATCTTAATTTAGCCCGTATACTACAAAAGGGAAGGGAGAGAAACTGCTTCTACTACAATTGGCATATTTAATTAAATGGGCATAGATATACTCGAATATATTTACCTCTAATTTTATGTACGCGCTTAAAGTCCTCTGCTCAACGTAATAATGTTCTCATGCTAATATATAAATTTTTTGCAAGCATCTGACTTAGTTACAAAAATCTCTACGTTACTTGATTGTACATTTAATACATCTACAGTAACACTTCCTGCATATTCAGACATTTTCTTTCTAGTGTTTGGCCTTTTTAATCCTAACATTTTTTTTCTCCTTTTTACTACAAAACTTATGGGAGGGGGAATAATTCCCTTTCTTTCAACGAGATTTAACCACTATCAAAAAATCGGGAATCAAAACAGGGTAAAAGGACTAAAATGTTGTACTCCCCTAGGGTCTAATCTTCTTTTTAACAACATATCAATAGATGATCCGATATAACTAGCACCTGACTGATGGACAAAAGCATAGATTCCACAAACCTTCGTATAAGGTTTTAGAAGTGAGGATTCCTTTCCTTCTTTTTGTAGAGTTCTTTTCATCTGTTTTTCAGATGAAAAAGGGAGTAAGAAGAGCAAGGTAGATCTGAAGACCAGTGGTATTTAAATTTATCATTATCTAGAAGCTTACTATATAGGGTACTATAATCCAAGACTGATACTGAATTAACGTAATTAATTAAATTCTTGTTTTGCATTTTACTTAGCCCGACTTTACAGAAAGGGAGGATTAAATACATCTTTTCTAAATGCTTTTTAGGTTATAATTAGAATATAGATGAGATCTGGGCTTAGATAGAGGAAGAAAGGGGATAAAATATTAGTATAGGCAAATTACACCTGTGAGTCTAGTCATGAAAGATATTTCTCTAAAGAAACTGCTTCCACTACGATGGGCATAAAGCCATGATACACACCACAGCAGATATGAGGCTAGTTACACAATGTAACTAATTTTATACTTACCCTTGTAAACCTTATTAGGTTTAATATAATTAGAGATGATAGTAGAAGAATCTGATGTTTTGAACCCAAGTGCTCTAACACATTGATTAACTGAATCGTAATAAGTTGTTTCATTCGTTTCAATGTTTAAACATGAGACAGCTTTACGTCCTCCTTTACTTAAAGGGTTTTGGGCAAATAATAATTTAAGGGTAGTACCGCCAACCATACAAACTACAAACTTGTTGTTAATATATCTAGAAATTCTATAGTAATTTTTTCCGAATCCTAAAGAATTAGCTGCCTCTGAACTAGATGTATATTCACTCGCCCTTTTTCATCTAGATGAAAACTAGGGGAGTAATTCATAATTTTCTGTAAAGGCTAGACTTTTACCATGTGGTAACTGATTGTAATCGATACCCTCTAAGTTAGGACGTAGATAAGGATTCGCATAGGGAGATCCTACTTTGGTTGGCATGTGTGGTTCATACAACATGCAACGTTCTTCAATACCTGGGCAATTCACATAATGTTCTCTGTAATTCATTACCTGCATGCTGATCAATGGTCTTTCGTGAAATCCCTAAGACCTGTGAAGCAGAATTCATTGATGTGAACTCTATAGTTCTTCCTTTGTCAGTCACAGCAATAAAAGGCCTTTCCCCTAAATTGCTGGGACGTGTGTCCAGTGGATCTCACGAAGTAGTAAAAGTCACATCACCAGGTCCATTTAGCTCTGGTTTACAGAAGGACTGAAGAGCCTGCTCATACATTCTCGCATGATACTGAGTAAAAGTCTGTAGAACTTTAAAGACTTTGAAGTCACCAGTATACCCTAAATTGTCTTTAGCAAATTCTAAAAAGTAGTTGGGAACTGTTACAGTAGCATCTCAAAGAAAAGTATTAAAGCCAACTTTATTGACTTCTGCGTACAAGAGTCGTTTAGCCAACTTTGGATCTAAAGATTCACTGTAATGATTAATAAAACGGCTTGTATAATCAGTCGTAGAACCAATACAGAACTTTCCAGAAGAAGTGGATTGCATAGAATAAACCCCAGCTTTATTATGAAGTGATTTTACGAGTTGAGGGTTTCAACTTAAAGACAATCGTTGTTTAGAATCATCTGTCCAATTGTCTGATTCATAATAACTTTGTGAAATACCTGTATCACCAACTGGAGCTGATAATAAGCTTTCACTGCCTGTTTTTTTTGATACCTCAAAAAAAAAAAGAGGGCCTTACTTCGAAGAAATTTCTTTACAGATGACTCTTCATCAAAGTGATCAAACATCTTTGCTAAGACCTTTCGGGCATTTTGCATATTAATAGTATCATCTCAAGGAATCATAGGACTAGATAAATTAGGAAAGTGAAATGGCAAACCGCCTCATATAAAGTATTAGCAATATCTTACAATATTGATTAGACTATGTCTTCAACTAGTATATACTAGTGTTGGGCATTAACCATGATTATAAGTCATGATGTTTAGTCGTTGAACGTTTAAATCTAAATAATTAAATAAACTTCGCTGCTCGTTGACCTTAATACGTACGGTTAAGGTTATTCGTGCAATTAACCCAATTTTGTCGAGAAGTTCACACTTAAAGGAAACCTGTGGTATTGATTTCACTACATTGTCCATAGTAAACACCTTCACGCTGTACAATTACAGATACTTGATTAAGTCGACCCGGAATTGCGTCTAACTTAATACCTAAAGAAGGAACAGCAAAATCATGAATTACATCTTGACCTGTTACAATAAATCTAATATGAGTGTCTACGGGAACAACAACACGGTTATCCACATCTAGTAGTCGTAATTGACCTAATTCTAAATCTGACTCTGGAACCATATATGAGTCGAATTCAATTGATTCTCCATGAGCACTAATAAAGTCAGAATACTCATATGATCAGTATCATTGGTGTCCAGCTACTTTAACAGTCATAGTTGGGGAGATTACTTCCTTTTTCCCGCTATTTTATAGGTAAATAATATTGGGAGTTTGGACTATCTCATCATCTCGTTGTTATAGTGAGATGTTCCACGTGTAGTCTCTGAGGAGTCTAGCAAATGTATTAATACACGGTTAGTTTCCTGCGGATTGTCCTGTTTAATGAGGATGTTCCCGCATATAGTGGAATTATTCAATTAATCTCGCAATTAAAGGGGACCAAGTAAGAATTAGAATCGTAATTTGTACATCATTTGGCTATGAAAATGAGGCTTTACAATCTGAACAAACCTATCAAATGACTCTGCCCTGATATATACAACAGGTGCATCTTCATGGTTTTGCACAGTACAGTTTAATCCAAATTTGTAATGAAGTAATGCAGCTAGTCGGTAAGCTTCATTAAAAGTAAAACCTTTTGTGTGAAGATAGAACCCGCTAGGTGTATAAGCTCCATCGTCTATAGCTCAATATGCTAATGCCACGTCATCAAGATAAATTAGTAAGTCATTATTAATACCTTTCACATAGGCTCCATTTACAGTTCTATAGAATAATTTATGTAAAGTTAGTAAGACAGGATATGCTCGAAGATGTACCTGAACGAACAGATATTTACCACGAGATAAACCTACAGAAGGATAACGAACTGCGTAGTGAGATAAAGTGAGGAAGACAGACCATACGTACTCAAAACGTTTGAGAGTTTGAGTAAATACGAAGAAAGGTAATACTGCAGTGTTACTCACAACTAAAGCACCATCTCCTAGTAAGTGTCCTACAATTTGTGAGATTACTCGTTTAGGGAAGGGTGCGATATTTCTAACATGATCATTATAGTTAATACCTGTAGTAGACCCTGTACTCCAAGGAGTTCCAACGGGAATAATATCTGTGCAAGGTGATGATAACTTACGCACCGGAGTTTTGGGAACTTTCGGCAAGTCCACGGGTGACTTAGATTTACTTGCCCTTTTTGATAAATCAAAAAGGGCACTAAGACTAATGGCGGCAATTGATATTGATGTACTAAGGTAAATTTCAACCTCTCAGGAAAAATCCATTAAATAAAGTAATTTGAAACTAGGAAATGCAATAGCAATTAAAATGAATGCGGGTGTAATAGTTCACACTAACTCAATTAATGTGCCATGGTTATGATATTTATGCACAATACCTGCTTTGCTGCTACTGAATTTGATCATAATAATAGACATCATTCAAAACACTAAGAAACTAATAACTACTAAATAGAAAAAAATAGTATCATGTAATTCTACAATACCTTCAAAGTTAGGTGTAGCACCATCTTGGAACCCAATCTGTCATGGGTATGAAGCATCACAATTAAGAATTGTACCTCCTAGAACTGTACAAATTAAAAAAGATGAAAAAATTGACATTAGTTCTCATATGTAACGCTCAATAGCTTGTTAACATAAATATATATGCTTAAACAATTTCTTTGTCTCTTTACAAGAGGTCCCTTCTTTCATTTTACCTGCTCCTTTTCTCTAGTGAGAAAAGGAGCTGGTAAAAGAAAAGGAATCAGAGCCTAAAAGGAAAAGTACGTTACTAGACTGTTAAAAACATATCCTATTTCCAAACAAAGAAAATCAGAAACAGGCTGTAGGGAAAGGAACTTCTGGCCTGGTCTATTTAATGGAGCTACTAAAAATAACTTAGACACTAGGGTCCTGACTTATTTATCCTCAGGTCATTTTCTTTTCACTTTTTTTTTATCTCTTGTAAAGACCATAAAAAAAACGTAAAAGTCGACAAGAAAAAATGATAAGGGCGAAAATAGGGTTCAACTCGTCAAATTTATTAATTTTATATATTTTCCTGATAGTAGTAAAAAGGCGAGGAAGGGGAAGAGCAGGTAAATAGGACTAGGAGGAATCGAACCACCGCTATACGATTATCGATCATATGTTCTGACCGTTAAACTATAGTCCCTTTCAAGTCTCTGTCTTGGTTAATTTACTGTGTAACATTTTTATTTAGACGCATGCGATAAAAAGGGAGGAAAAAGACAAATGAGTAGAAAACAGTAGACAAACGGAAGATTTGAGATTAAAGATATAAGTTAATCCCTTATATGATAATTTTCTACTTGTCCCGCCTGTTCATTCATTTTACTTTTAGTTGTTTTCATCCAGCCCGACTTTTCATTCAAGGGAATGAAAACGGAATGAAATATAAACAAATAATCGGTCTAATCGTTTTCACTGCCTGTTTTTTTTGATACCTCAAAAAAAAAAAAGAGGGCCTTCCTTTAGCTTTTATTAGCTTTATTACCCGATTATCCAGAAAGAAGGATGAAAGAAGCAGGTTTTTTGATAGTAGTTAAAAAGGCCAGATAATTAGACAGGTGCTACTTATATAAGAAATATGTTACATTACATACCCAATGTCTTATTGTTGGGGAGTAGATATTAAGAGCTCAGAGTTCCTGAGCGACATAAATGGCTTAATCATGGCCACGAACGAATGCTATCTAGTTGTTTGACACATGCAAGTTAATGTAAAACTGCTTTATTTCTAGAGCAGACACATAGCGTATTGGAGAGTATAAATTAGAATGCTAACTCTAGATAACCTTATAAGTTATAATTATCATTTGATACAAAGGATCTTATCTGTCTAGAGATGCTTTTAATCCACAGCAGTTAGTTGGTGAGGTAATGGCTTACCAAGACAATGACTTGTAGGTAAGGCTGAAAGTCTCAATATCCTCAGTGGAGAATGAAAAGTCCCACAACATCATTTGATGTGCAGCAGTGAAGAATCATCGTCAATGATCGAAAGATTGAACGTGCAAACTAGAATTCTATTAAGCATAAGTTTATAGAATGTAATTTAACAGAATAGTGATTAGTTATTTTACTAGTGGAAACCAATTTCGGTGCCAGAAGTTTCGGTTAGACCGATTCCGCAAGCATTGTTCGTTATGAATTGGCGTAAAGGGTACGTAGATTGTTGACTTGCATACTGATTCCTTGTTTTTACTTTTTTATTAATAAAAACCAGAGAGACAGATGAAGGGTTAACTAGAATCCGATAGAAGTAATCAGAATTTCAAAAGTAGCGCTGATATGCTTTGATATTTGAAGGACTACCAATGGCGAAGGCAGATTACTAATTAGAGATTGACATTGAGGTACGAAAGCGTAGGTAGCAAACAGAATTAGATACTCTGGTAGTCTACGCTGTAAACGATGAGTGTTAGTAATCTTTCTTTATTCCTTTGTGACCTTTCTTTGTAACAAAGAAAGGAAATGAAAAGGAAATGATGGGATACTTAGCAAACGTAATAAACACTCCGCCTGGAAAGTACAGTCACACGACAGAATACCAAATGATTAGACGGTCTCGAAAACCCGTAGTGAAGCATGACGCTTAATGCGATAACCCGCGCATAACCTTACCTACACTTGAATCTCATGATTTAGTAAGGATTTTTCGGATTCCTTCAAGCCCGTTCCTATCTCTGATGGGAAAAGGGAGAAATCAAGAGGACAGGTGCTGCATGACCCTCTTCAGCATGTGCCTTATGGTGCTTGGTTTGATCCGCTAACATGCGCAATTCTTACCTTCTTAATTTTCGATTTAGACGCCCAGTTACTGATTCCCATCACCTGTTTTCATCATGAAAAAGGATGGGAAAGGCGAGAAATAGTGAGAAAAACAAAGAAGGACTACAGTTGATATAGCTGTAAATTAGAGCTAAGAGAGGTCCCTATGACCCTTATGTGTAGGGCTGCCGTTGTGCTGCGAAGAGTTTAACAATATGATGCAACATTGTGAAATAGAGCTAATCATCAAATAAACTCACACGGATTGTAGTCTGCAATCGACTACATGAAATAGGAATTACGAGTAATCGTGTAGTAGTGCGACACGGTGAAAATAAAATTCGAGATGTACTAATTACTCGTCAAATCTGGAAATAGATTAAATTGTGAAACTGGACGATGTACATGACGATATTTATCACCCGACTCTTTTTTATGGTTTTTGTCTGTTTTTGTCTGTTTTCTGTTTTTTGTCTATTTTTTTGTCTAGACAAAAAGGACAAAAAGGACAAAAAGGACAAAAAAGAACAAAAGGACAAAAAAGACAAAAAGAAAGGGAGGAAATATATTCCTAGTATTTATTATCATAGTGTAATACTTTTGTTAGCAGTTTACCTTAATCGAGATTAAGTCGAAATATAGGAGTGGCAGGGGAACCTGCTGCTGAACAATACAAATTATAGAATCCCCTTGGTCCTTTTCTCGCCGCTTCTGATTCCTGATTTCCTAAGAAAAAAGAACAGAGTAATAAAAGAGGTTGATGAAAAGTATTTGTAAGAAGGTCTGATTATATTTCGATATGTAAGTCGTCATGTCCCTGATGGAGGTATAAAAAAAGGAACAGATAAAATTAATTAAAGAAATCCTGTTCTGGTGCTACTTATAGTCACTTGGTTCTTTTTACTCCTTCTCACAGAGTAAAAAAGGGCAGGAGAGAATATAGTTTAATGGTCAAATTCTTCAGTGTCATTGAAGACGATGCGGGTTCGAATCCCGTTGTTCTCGTTATATTCCTAATACCCTATTCTAGTAACTTTACTTAAATTAATATTATTAATTATATTTCGATTCCCTTTCCCTTTGTTCCCGACTCTTTTCCTGTTTTTTGTCTGTTTTTTGTCTGTTTTTTTGTCTAGACAAAAAGGACAAAAAGGACAAAAAGGACAGAAAAAGAAAAGAAAGAAAGGAAAAATAAGGAAAGGCTATGAACCATTTATAGCTCTAATAATTAAAACCTTAATTATTTCAAGATAGAAAAATCGAAAACTTTTCTGGTCTTAGTGATTGTAATCGCCTTTTTTACTCGTTTATTTTATTCTCCTTTTAATTAGCGTAAAAAACCAAGCTTACTTATTTTCTTGCCTACTTACAAAGGGCCAGAAAGGTAAAGTAAATAAAGACTGGGTTAGAAATGTGAAACTAAATTAGCTATTTACCTGTTTTACCTCGCTGTTTATTATATGCTTTACCTTTTTTTTTACCAGTGTTTTTACTAGAAAAAGAGGCAAAATAAAGTAGAGGGGAAACAGAGGAATATACAGTATTTCCCCCCATTGTCTTGGGAAAGTAACGTAATATAAAATCATTATTTGTCGCTAGAGTATTTTCCACTTGGTTTTCTCGTCTTGATTTCCTAGGTTTTTAACTACTTTTTTTTTTATTTATTTATTTTATCTCACTTTTGTCTGTTTTTTGTCTAGACAAAAAGGACAAAAAGGACAAAAAAACAGACAAAAAACATAAAAGTAAAACATAAAAACAAACAAAAAGGGAAGAAAGGGAAGCAGTAAACCAAGCCCTAGGTTTTAACTACTATGTTCCCATCTCCGATGTTTTTCATCTCTCCCTAGTTCATTCCTAGTTCATTCCCAACTAGGAATGGGAAAGGGAACTAGTGGGCATGAAAAAGGGAAAGAAAAAGTGAGCAAATATATTATTTATTAATACTGTTATTATGACGAAAACCAATAGGAATTTGACCAGAAACATGACTTTAGCTTTAGTGTTATTTCTTGTAGGTATTTTAGGATTTGTACTAAACCGTAAAAATATTATTCTTATGTTAATTAGTATTGAGATGATGTTACTAGCGGTGACACTACTAGTTATTATTAGCTCATTTAGCTTTGATGATATTGTAGGTCAAACTTACAGCGTCTATATTATTGCCATTGCCGGTGCAGAATCTGCTATCGGTCTTGGTATTTTAGTTGCATTTTACAGACTTCGAGGTTCAATTAGTTTACGTTAAATGTATTTAAGTATTTTAGCTTTACCTTTATTAGGTTCAATTTCATCCGGACTATTCGGACGTAAATTAGGAGTTACTGGAGCACAAATCATTACTTGTGTATGTATGCTTGCCTCATCCTTTTTATCCATGGTAGCATTTTATGAAGTAGCTTTGTGTGGGTCACCCGTATCAGTTTATTTATCTAGTTGAATTGATTCTGGGTTCATGTCTGTTGACTGAGCTTTTACATTCGATAGCTTAACTGTATCAATGTTATTACCTGTACTTTTTGTATCATCAATGGTACATATTTATTCAGTAAGTTATATGTCTGCGGACCCTCATAACCAACGGTTCTTTGCCTATTTATCAATGTTCACTTTCTTTATGCTAGTACTAGTAGCTGGAG